TGAGGAATTTCTTAGTACAGAAACACTTTTTGAATCATAACTGAATTTAAAATGTCTGAATGACTTATAATGACTTACGCAATGGTATTATAAAAAATGAACTCTGGATACGGAGAGGATAAGAAAATTCAAAAAAAATCTTTTCCACAAAACTAAGGAGAGATTGTTTCTATCTTTTCAGAAAATACAGATAATAATGTTTATACCTGTAGCTGCTGTAAATGCAGAAGTGATAACAGATTGCTGGAAAAAGTGGATGAATATGACTTTAAAGTCAGATAGAGTATCCTTCCTGAATTCTGTCCAGGATTCCATTCCATTTCTTTCTAGGTTTTGTAGAGAAATGCAAATGGAGGCCCAAGGAATTGGGAAATAAGAAATAGTTGCAGTTTCAAACCACTAAAACTAACAGCTTGGAGAAACAAACAAACAAACAAACAAACAGACAGACAGACAAATAAATAGCCTATTTATAGAATGAAATGAAATAAGAAAAGTATCCCTTTGTGAAAGTGTTGTTTGTTTCTTGCTCACTGCAAAATTTTCAGAAAAGGGCAGGTAACACCAAGGGAAAAAGCTGTCATGTCTGAAACTCATGAAAATAATCTCATCGGGAGAAAGTCAGAAAATAACAGCAGACTACTTTGTGACATTTTGCTCACTACCTTCAAAGATAATTTAGATTCCATAGGACCCTTTTGTAGTAGAAAATGCTGTGCAACACAAAAGGAAAACCCAGCAGAAGGCCTGTATTTGAAAGGGCAGAGGATGTCTGTATCATGGTGAAAAATAATCTAGGATAAGTCTGAAGAGTACTATTATAAAATTAGCGTATAGCCATGCTCAACCTAACAATTCCTGCTGAGCTCAGTGTGGTTGCAGAATCCTGACTATAGGGCTAACAAGCTTGATGCTAGAGCATCCACTCAGTTATCAGATGTTCATATGACTAAAATGTTATTTAGATTTCTTCTAGACAAACCCCTAAAATACAAATATAATTATCTATTTATTTCTTTTGCAAGTAGAGCTAAAAAACAGAGATTCCACTTGCACAGCTTCTGAGAATCTTCAAAATGAAATATATTTCCTAGTATCTAATAATTATGTGTGTTTTAAAATATTCTGTTGCAGCTGTGGATGAGGTGTTGATGCTAAAAGGAAAAAATGCTAAATTTTTTTGCTAATTTTTAAGTGCTTACTTTTACTGCTTACTTTTACCTTAGCAATTAATTCGTTAGTGAAGCATTTGATGGAAGGTGGTTCTGTTTTGTTTCGCTTTTTTTTTTCCCTATAACTTTCATTTTAACCAGTATTTATCCTATTAGCTAGTTATTACTACATAGATACTGCATAACATTTTTTTCCTCATAATGTGTACCTTAAAATTTCAGATTTTTATTTAATAAGAATAACTGACCTCAGAAGGACATAGTATTTGCTGTCAAATGCAATGAAATTGAGTATCTACACACTCAGTAATAGTTTCTCCATTTCAGCTGCATCAGATACAAGAAACGGTATAAGTGATTTCAAAATTGGTTAATTCAAGGCCCTTCTCTCTCAGTTTTGAAATCTATTTCTATTTCCTCATCAGGGAAAAGATAAAGCAATTCAAGCTGAGCTGGTATTCTAATTATACTTCAGTGCAGTAACAGATTTAGCTAAAGTTGGAAAATAAATTTCAAAAGCTTTAAAATAATTTCTAAGAAGTGCTGCTGTATGTCATCTGTTATACAGCTTGTTTGTTTTACTTGAAAAATATGGAGTGATAATAAAAGAATAAATTACAGTTAAGGACTCATTTCTTATTTCAGTGAAAAGTGATTACTTGTCACAAGTGGTTTTGAGACCTCTCTCTCCCCAACCCACCAACAGTTTTCTGTTTCAAGAGAATACATTCTGACAGGATACAGAGCTCAAAAGATTGTGTTTTGGTGGAGTTCTGTTGTGTTTCAGTCATTATTGAAGTGAGAAAAAGCAAAACAAACATATTGTTGTCATGTCTATTTTTCATCAGTTATTTCAGAATCCCAGAACTGAAACCAGATGTGCTTTGATTTTCTTCTTCAAGTCCTGTTTGAAAAGGCCGAATAATATAGCTGTAAAATGCTTGTCTCTACTATGTTGTAGTCAAAAGCTTAACAAAAGTCAGCAATCTTATGACACTCATGACATCTGAGTAATTGCTGCAGACTTTAGGAAAGCACTTGCAGTATTTTCATATTCTTAAAAAATAAAAATAAAAATAGTCTATTCCTGAAGCAATTCCATGCCACTCATTATTTCACAGCCTTTGATATCATGTCCTTACATTCATATGCAGAGTACAAAGAAGTGAAGCAGTGATAGTCTTCATAGCAATTAACTACAGTGCATTGTGCTATTAATCTGCTTGAAAATGTGCGACCTCTGTCCATGTATTTACACGCAGTTATGTTTGGAGTTAAATTACTTAAATCTGGGGTGCAAGTATAATTTTCAACCACACAAGTATAAAGACAAACTAGGTGTTATAGTTTTTTATGGATTTCCAAAAGACATTTGACAGAGGAAACTAATGAATACTAGCACATTTGAAGAATAGAGATCCTTGCATACCTAAATAACTTGTATAAAGACAGGAAACAGGTGACAGGAGTATATTTTACTCTCTTCATAATCGGTCAAGAAATGTCATCAGAAGAGCTCTGTTGAAGTCTTAGCTGTGATCTCTACTAATCCACATAGCCCAGAGTAACAACAAAACATGTAGCTATCTTACATTAAAGTCAAAGGCAGACTTTGAAGACTTGTAGTAAGACATTGCTAGATAGTCTCAGCAAGAAAATGTCATATGAAGCTCTATGTAGACATACATAAAGTGACACATATGAAATAATCATGGCTTCACATATTATCTTCATGGCAGACATTGAAATGACTGTTATTAAGCAAGGACAAGTTTGCAGCAGGGCAAATTGAAGTAGACACTTCTGTGAAACTAGCAGCTCCATAGCAGAAGCCCATTTATAACATTTCATTTTAATATTTATTTGAGTTCGAACAAAGAGTCAAAGAGAATCTTCATCTTCTACTGTAAAGATCCATGAGTTCCTCACACTTTGAAGCAGTTATTCTCCTTCGTTTACGAAAATGATATAGTATAATTAGATGTAACTTTTTTTAAAAAGAGCAATAAAGATGATCAGTGGTACAGAACAGTATCAATACACCAAAATAGGTGGTCAAGGACTTCGCATCTTTGAAAAATGATGATTTACAGTGGATGTGATAGAGAACTAGAAATCACATAAAGCATGATGAGGGTGAGTTAAAACTGCCTGCTTTTGTGTACTCCAACAACTAAAAGCAGTCAAGTAAAGTCAGTTGGAGTAAATCTCAGTGTAAACAGAGGACATGCTTCATAGAATAGGTTGAAAAACAGAAAAACCCTTTAGCAAATAGGACATTAGTCTCAGTCAGTGCTCACTCAAGGACCATCTTTACTAAATAGTTTTCAGTTCTTTTAATTACACATGTTCAAATATTTAAAAAGCCAAACAACCAAACAAACAAACAAACAAAAAAACAGACTAGTATTTATAGGAAACAATGTAATTTTATTCTTCTTTGATCCTTCACCAGGGCATCAGGGAAAGTTTAGGGATTGTTCATTACAGAAAGAGACATAATTAAAGGGTGTAAACAGAAGCCAGAGGGTTCTAGAACCAAAAATCAGAAAAGAACATCAAAAGTCATTCTACTATATTTATCATCACTGTAAAAATATAGATTTTTTTTTCCCTAGTGGACTTTGGAAAAGTAGGCAGAATGTTATGTACTGAACTACCTCCTGTGGGAGGAAATCATATTGGATAGGAAAGAATTTAGTGTCAGAAGTTTTGAGGGAAAAGAAAATCGGACTTTGTGTACTATATATTTCAGAGACAATTGGAATACAATTTTCAAAAAGGATTTGGGGAATAATTTTATTTCAAGTTGTTTTTTGTTTGGTTGGATTTTTTTATTTGGTTGTTTTAATTTACTGTACTACTATTCTGTGCTGGAGCCCTTAATGTAACTACATCTAGAGTTGTATTTTCTTATATTTTCTTTCTTATAATTCTCTCTTTTTTTGAAAGGGTTTTCAAGGAATACTGATGCACATGAAACATGAGGGAATGGGTGAGTAACACAGACATAACTGAAAAATTTATGTCTTTGTTTCCTTCTGCTAAATCATTTTATGTATCTCAGTAGAGTGGTACATTTACCTTTTCATGCATAAAAGTGTATCCCATCATATTCCTTCATTCAAACATATTTATTAAAACATTACAGGCAGCTGCTACACAATAAAGACTAGAAATTTCTATTTTGTTTTCTGCTTACCATACTTTCAAGATTTCTACAGAGACAGGTATAATTTATGACTTCCCGTGCAGCTTAGGCAGGAGATCGGTTCCAAACAGATTAGCACTGTCAAAATTTCAACTATCTATTTATGCTTAGCAGCAGAAAATTAGATATCTGTGTGACTTTGCTAGAAGAAATTTACGTGCTCAAGGAATCGAGCTGCTTTCACAGTAGACAAGGATTCCGAAGGTCTGTATTTTAGATGTTATTTAAATCTTCTTATAAATCTAGACATAATGTTACACTGCCACAGTGCCACTAAGATTACAGAATAAAAATATATCAATCCAAAACTTCCCTCATCTTCAAAATACTAAACAAACTGCACATCTAAATATGAAAGTGTATATCAGCAAAGTTTTTAAAAAGCAATAAATTGGTATCGCTGGCAATGTATGCTATAGTACTGTTTTGCTCCAATTTATAGGAGGGAGAGGAGGTTCTTTTATTACCTATATACTGCCTCGCTCCAATTTATAGGAGGGAGATGAGGTTCTTTAATATCTGTATACCCGGTGTGAGATTAAGAAACAACGGTTCATATGTTGTTGCATCCAGTTTATTACTAAGACCTAATCAGGGAGACGGGGAAGGGAAGGAGTGCGATAGAAAAGATGGAAAAGAAGCAGGAGTTGCGTAAAGCGGGGAGAGTCACCAGCAGGATCCAGCAGCGGTCCCATTGCACGGTGTTTGAAGGTCCCAGGCAGACGCAGCAGAAGACGGGGAGCAGCAGCGTGGCCGGCCTTGGGCAGCAGGCAGGTAGACAAAGAAGTCGAGGAGCCAATTCTTGAAGCAGCAACAGCGGTCAGGCAGCAGGCTCAGGAGAGTTCGACAGTATGCAGGAATCACCTCAATCTTCAGGAATCCCTCTTCTTCTTCATGAGGAATCTGTTGTCAGAACCCTCCGTTCTTCATGAGGAATCTGTTGTCAGAACCCTCCATTCTTCATGAGGAAATTTCTGGCCATAATTTTCTTTAAGATGAGTAACCTTCTCATCAGAAAATAAATAAATAGATAGGTAGGGAGGTAGACAGATAAAAATAAATCTACAAATAAATTTATTATAAAATAAGAAACCCTTATAAAAGTCAGATGTGCACTGAGTAAAATAAACTATAAATATAAATGTCCGCAAGTCAATCTTCCCTTGTTCCCTTGACCTACATTATTTGCAGTTGTTTCACTTAATCTTAATTCTCAGTTCAACAACTTTAAAGATTATCTGACTTGCAATAAAATCTACCCAATTTTCTCTTTCTCCCTGTAGCTGGAAAACTTTCCTGGATCTTCTCCCTTGATTTCTCAGGAGTGTCTCCTCACTTTCAGTGATTCTTAGAGCCTCTAAGATGACCTTATTTCCTCCTCTAGGACCCTCTCATGTTTCAGAGTAGTGGCTGTCTCATTGAAGTAGCCATCTCCCTTGTCTCTGGAATATATAAGCACACCAACAACCATCATTACTGTTGTTATTAAACAAACAGAACATATTTCAGAGGAACAGCAAGAACAAAGATATGTCATACTAATTGCAATTAGCAAAACACAAAGACTAACTATGAAGAAGTAAAATTTATAGCATTCTTAGAAATAGTCTGAAAAAGGGAGGGAATAAAGTAAATGGATTTTCAGCTTAATCTACAGATGTTCAGATATGATGAAATGTTTCAAGTTTCATCAATTAATAAGCCCTAAGAGGAACCACTTAACTTACTTAAATGGATAAGTGATAGAGATCTTAAATTTTTTACAATCCAAATTGCTTCTTATTGTATCTCCATTTAGATATATATGTTCTATGCATATGGATATCTTATCTTGCAAAGTGCTGAATTCAGCTCAGAAACCAGTCCTGTAAACCTTATGCAACAGTTCCTCCATCAGCTTGTTAACTTTTCATAATTCCTGACTGCTATCCAGTTGTTGTAAGCAAGTCAATCCACTGGCTTTTAAAATTAAAGCAAGTAACACTGCAAGTGTTTTCTAAATCTGCTATGCATGTTTTAATTTTCTTAGCCTGAATTCCTAACAGGTGATGATCTGTGGTAAACTGAACATGTGCATTTTATAAATTCTCTACAGAGACAGAAGGTATCAAAAGCAAATGACTGAGTTTTAGACTTTTCAGTAAGTAATTCTAATGCCACTGAGGTCAGTACAACAACTTATTTTTTGATAAATATACGCATTGTTAACTGGTATTATGCAACACCCAGTATGATGCAGACATCCATTTGTTAAAACTCTGAATAATTCTAGTCTCCAGATCTACAATCCTATTAACTTTCTTCTTTATTCTAAAATACACATAAAATGGAAGAAAAGCAGCTTGGGAATGATTGGGCTAGATTTCATGTGTCATGTAATACTTCTATGACTAACTCCTCATGTTTGGATTGGCAAGAAATACATTAGCTTAGCTTTATTTTGATTAACACTGTCATCTAACCAAATGGCAAGAAAGTCAGGATGTAAATGTGGAAATACAGTATGAAATATGAAATCAGATAACAGTTTCCTGGAGGTAGACTCTGCGCAATCAGAAAACAAAACCTCCAAATAATTAACCTCTGCATCATATTAATTCCAATCTCTTCTTCTCCCAGCTTTTCTTCCTTCATTCTTGCCAAAATTTGATTCTTTTGATAGAAGAATGTAGGGTAGTACATTAAATAATCTGATATTTCCTAATATATAATTATTCTAAACAATTCTTAGCGACATTTCCAGCAATAAATGTGGCTTTATACACAGCAGAATTGTAATGTTCAAGACAGACTCTGATGCTTCTGAAACCTTCAGAGAAACAGAGGAACAGGAAAGAGCAGTTTAATTACTCTTAACGATAAGCCAGACATTTAGTTAACCAAGAGTATTACTTTCTCAGAATTCAAATAAATATAATATCACAGCTCTTTAACATTTCAATTCAGTTGTCAACAAAAAGCCTTATAAAAATATTAAATTTATTTTGACATTCATCCTGGACAGAAATAACAGTCCTTATATATCTGGGAGTTTGGTACAATTGATTGATATGTGTAACAGGTAATAAGGATCTCATATTACTGCCAAGAAAAGGCAATATATTTCTCTCACCTTTGGTTTTTTCATGCTTATTTTGGATTTTAAAAGTTCAAATTAATGACTACATAAGACCAGAAATGATTACAACAGTTCATTTTGATACAATAAGTACTATTGGTTAAAAGGACTGCTCTATCTTAATGCTATGTCTTCTCCAATGACTGGTATTTTTTGCCTCATAATCAGCAATGTACAGAGAAGGTACACTTTGGTGAAGTAGAATAAATGTCATCGCTTCTTATCATATACAACGTTTAAAAAGTAATGTCAGCACTAAATCATAACCTTGTTGAAAGGATTGCAGTTGGAACATATGTTGCATCAAACTTGTAATTTTTTTATTTGATATGGCAGTTACAATGACTAGAAAAACGGGCTTGAAAATGAACTGCTTTATGAACACAAACTGTGACTAAAATACATTTCATTTCACACAGAGATATCAATGTTCATGACAGATTTTCAAAAGTTTAAGTGAATAGAGTATTAAATACTGAGATTGAAAATATATCATTTTAATTTTCACAGCATCGACATTTTTTTCAAATCATTTATTCAGTGTGTTGATATACTTAAAAAATGGAAGCTACATTACAATCAAATTTAATATATTTGGAAAAGAAATATATGCTATTTATTCATAAATAACTCTATTTTCCACAGAGATAAAAAACTTGAACATTTTGTTTTCTTGGCTAGTGGCTATTCTTGCATTTCTGATTATCATGTGAGAAATTTTATCTTCCTACAGAAATATTTAAATAATTATAAAACTAACTCTCACAGAAATGTGTACAGATAACAATAGTCACAAAAACCTGCTAAGGGTTAGGGTACAGAAGGAGGAACTTTCACAGTTCTGAATTTACAAAACATTAAGAAATTCAAAGCATCTGATTTACTTCAGAGGTTCATTATATTATTTTTCTATTACATTTTTTTAATTAAAAAATAATCATTTGCACCTACACTTTTGTTATTTTAAAAGAAAAGTAGCATAGCCAATTAGCACTTGCAGTTTTTCCATAAGGTTTAAGAAAATGGACACATTGATATTTCTAAGTGTGATAGAAATTCTGTTCTGGATAGTCTGGGATTGAGAATACCTACAAGAGGATTGGTGCTGAGAATATTTTGAACTGCTAGAATGCCTAAGTCTAAGTTCTTAGCTTGTGCCCAACAAATCAATTTTAACACAAAGATTTAAACAAATGGTAAAACTCATTTACTAAATAAATTTTTTAATTGTAGCAAGTTTTATATATTGAAACATATTTTCCCACACAGTCCTTTTTTTTTTTAGTTTTATATGCTTTATAATAGAGCGTTGTGATTGTAACATAGGGAGGTGGTGAATTCTTCTGTGGTGATTAAATGTATTGAATATTCCACTCATTAAATTCTTGAATTTTTTCATATACAGTTAGTGAACTAAAATTTAAAAACACACCAGGTTACAGGGTAAGAAATGTCTCTATGTTAATGTCATGTAGAGGTTACGGTTTAATTACTACTATAAACGTAGTGGGAATGGAATACAATGGAATGGAATGGAATATAGGTAACCTGGGAGGAATATGAGATATTTTCCAAGGAGCTAGGGATCAAGTTAGGAAAGCTGAACCTAGACACTCATGGGAAACAAAAAAGAGCTTCTATAAGGACATCAGTGACAAAAGGAAGACAAGATAAAATGTGGTTCCTCTTCTTAAAGAAATAGAAAACCTGGTTACCCTACACTAAAAAGTCTGAGATTTTGCCCCAATGTTTACTTGCATCACAGGCCTTTAGGCCCCAGAGTCTACACTGGGTGGCTGTAACAAAGAAGATAAACTTTCAGTAGAAGATCACGTCAGGCAAAACTTGAGCAAACTGGATATTCACTAGTCCGTTTGCAACGATAGGATACAGCCACAAGTACTGAGGGAGCAGGCAGATGTGATTACAGGACTGCCCTCTCAATTGTGGCAACTGGTTAAAGTGCTTGAAGACTGGAGAAAAGCAAATGTCACTCCTATTTTCAAAAAGAGCAAGAAGGAGGACCCAGGGAACTACAAGCTGGTCAGCCTCACCTCAACTGAAGAGATGGAAGCCAATTTTAGGCACAGAAAAGAGAAGAAAATCATCAAAAGTACTGTCTTTCATAAGATCTGAGAGATTAGCTGTTAAAGTATGGGTTGGATGAGCTAACTAGTGAAGTGAGTTGAAAATTGTCTGAACAGTCAGAACCAGAGGGAGGTAAATGGTATATGTTGACTGAGAGTTGACTTAGAGTGACTACTGGATTATCCCAGAGGTTAATACTGGATCCATTTCTGTTTTAACATCTGCATTAATAGTCTGGACAGTGGGGTATAGTGCACTCTCAGTAAATCTGCCAGTGATAGGACAGAGGGGAGTAGCTGACTCACCAAAGGGCTGTACTGCCTTCCAGAGTAATACTGACAGTCTGGAGAGGTGGGATGACAAAAATCTCAAAGAGTTCATCGAGAAGTGCACAGTGTACTCGGTGAGGAAAACTCCAAGCACTACTAAATGTCCACCCAGCTGGAAATCATCTTTACAGAAAAGAACCTGTGATCCTGGTAGACACCAACATGAATCAGCAATGTGCTCTTGCCACTAAGAATTCTGACTGCATTATGAAAAGTATCACTAGCAGGTAAGGAAAGGTGACCCTTGCCCACTACTCAGCATTGGTGAGGCTGTACCTTGAGTGACTGTGTGCAGCTCTGGGCTGCCAGTATGAGATTGAACATACTGGAAAGAGTCCAACAGAGGGCCACCAAGATGATCAAGGTGCACCACTCTTGAGAGGAGAGGCTGAGAACTGGGGCTGTTCAGATTAGAGGATGGAAGGCTCAGGGGGAATCTTATCAATCTGTATAAATATCTAAAGGGAGGATACAAAGATAATGGAGACATGCTATTTTCATTGGCATCCTGTGCCAGGACAAGAGGCAATGAGCTCAACCTGCAACAGAGAAGGCTCCTTATAAAGCCTGAAAGAAGAGAATTGGCCTCAACACTAAGAGAAATATATATGCATATATATATGTTAGAAACTGAAGAAATAACTAAGAACTGCTAGAAACCAAGCTAAATTAGGCATTTCAGAGCACTCAAAAGAGATTGAGATTAGTACCTCAGTCACAAAATAAACATTTAAAAAAACCACAAAAACAACTGTGATTTCTATGCAGAGAGGATGTTCGTAAGCAAGATATTATGAAAGCAGTTACATTACAACGTTGTTGATCAGATTAGATAGATTTAACCAAATCCAGGCTGATAAAAGATTAATACCCCTTATTCTCTCCAAGGTTCCCCAGATTGTTTTCC